CCCGTTTTTTCCATACGGAACTAGGAGTAAACTGAAAACGCAAAACACTTAACTTGCCATACCCCCCCCCCTCCCCCGGGGATCCCCTCTCTCCCTCTTCCTGTAATGGTGTTTCCCTTGCACATACTTTCTCTGGTCTTTCTCTAATTTACTCTCATGTATTCTTCTTCTGCTTACTAGCTGAGTGATACAGGTCCTCTGTGATATTTTGACATCTGGAGGTCTTCCTGGGAAGGAGTGTGAGCATCAGCCATATTTATACTTTGCTGCCGATGATCTTGAATACCAGGTTGCTAATAAAGTTAACCCTAGATATACCCCACTCACTTATGTTAGAGTATCTGTACATCTGTAGAGCTGCACCACCTGCACCACCTGCACCACCTTTTATGACATTTTTTTGTCAAAGATGATTCTGCGTCTTTTCAAGAATGAACTTAATCATGGAATCAAAGGAAAAACATTAAAACCAGCATGCATTAATCATCTAGTACCAGATAGGAGATAGTTGATGCTTTCTTTTAACAGTTTCTATTGTTCTCTACATGCATCTCCGACACTGACATTATGGGCCAAATCTGACCTTTCTTCTTATTATGAATGTATATTTACAGAATAGCTTCTATTCTAGCCTCTTGAATGATGTTTGATTATTGAGAGTACTAATCGGGTGTCAACTTAGGCAGGCAGCATTTTCTTGCGAGCGTCTTGGTATGGGCGCATTCAGAATTGCTCTAGAAAGTGTCTTTAACAGGTACTTTTTGTGTTCTTCCAAATTCTCACTTCTGCCTTTTGTTGGAGATATTTAATATATATTGGAAGTATTGATTCCCTAAAGATGTGAACGAGATTCAAAATTCACAGTTCATGCTAAGAAATGTAAAATTATGTTTCATGAACAATTCACAGAATTCACATGAAGCCTTTGGAGTATACATCTTTTGGGAAGCCAAATCCATTTGTGTTCCAAGCTGCTGGGGCCATATTGAGAAATATTCGACTCGCTTGTCAAACTGAAGACCTCTCTGGTGATATAGATGCTATACATGCTTTCAGAACTCTGTACATGATTGGTGACAATCCATTTGTTGACATAAAAGGTGCACGGCAGGTTAGTGGCTTGCTAACATGATTCATCCGAGCCCTCTACAGACAGATTGCTTGAGATCGTCACTATCTTGAAGTTATTTGTAACGAGCATACTGTTCAATTTTAGGCAGGGCATCCGTGGTTTTCAATTTTGACGAGGACTGGTGTTTTCAAGGAAAGAGGAAATCATGCAGAATTTCCTGCTGATCTAGTAAGTTTCTATTCTGTACTGATGCATGAGTTCCCTTGCTCATTATCAATTCTTGTGCTTCAATTTTCAAAGTTGCCTTGCTCATTATCAATTCTTGTGCTTCAGTTTTCAAAGTTCCCTTGCTCATTATCAATTCTCTTGCGTCAATTTTCAAAACTCCCATACCCCTAGAATCAATCTTTTTGATGCAATTACTACTGCGTTGGTTCCATGGCAAGGTAGAGTTACTTTTTGTCTTTTGGTAAGACCGAACAAGTAAAATAGATAATTTCCCTGAACAACCGACTTCAGAGGGACAAAAAAATGATTCCGAGTGTTTCTTTTTCACTTGCCCTCTTTTTACTAGACCTCATTCCCTCACCTTCAATTCTTCTCCACCCACCATTCCTCTTTTACCCTATGTTGTGCGGACTCTCCAAAATGCTGCTGCACCCGTGTTGAATCCTCCAAAAATATACTACTTTTGAAGGATCCGACACGAACCCGGTGACATTTTCGGAGAATCTAAGAAACATAGCTTTAGCTCCAATCAAACACCACTTTAGTTTTCCACTCTAGTGAATGATTTACGTAACCTTTGAAGCCCTCCAACATCATTCTGTCGGTAGGAGGCAAGTGTGTTTCATAGAATTTACTCTCCTCTTCCTTTGGCCTCTCCTATGTACTTCCCTGAGAGAAATTTAGATTTTAACTGTGAACCGAGTTTTCATTTGAATCTCTTGAGAGGTTTGAACGTGAATCATCCTAACCTTCCAAAGTCTGAATTTTATATCATGCATAAGCACCAACTCATTTTTATTTGCTGCTTCTGCAGGTGGTCGACACTGTTGAAGAGGCAGTGGATTTCATTTTGAAGAGAGAGTCTAGTTAGCAGCATTGGCAATTTTGTTTTCTGAATTGCTGCCATGTTGCCTTTGCTCATAGATGTTTGTGATTTTCAAGTTGAAGTTTGTTAAAAGTAACTCAAACAGTAATTTGTATTCAGGTCTAACATTATTTTTACCTAACTTGAACTGCTGTCTTTCTAGGCCCCCTCTCTTCTGAACTCAGTACTGTTGTAGCATTCATTTTACACAATATTAAAAAAAAAGTTAAATTGAAAATAGAAGATAGCGTAGGTTGGAATTGAAAGAGATGGAAGTTTATTTTGACAGATGACTCGTCTTTCATGGTACTAGCTCTTTGTTGGCCACGTTTTCCTGAAATGTGACAGTTGTGTTATACAAGAAAACTCTGAAGTAACAGCCTAACTGCCTTAACTTACACTCCCTCCTGTCCAAAATAAGTGATTTTTCCAGATTTCAAGAATAAATTAATTATTTTTTTCTACATTGCCCTTGGAGTAAATAGTGTTGGAGTATGTGTTAGAAGTGTTTATGTGAAGAGATAGTAAAGGTTAACATTTTGAACCGGATGGAGTAATTTTTGTGTATTAATGAATGTCTCCACAGGTTCAATTGTCGCTATCTCACCTTTTCCTGCCACCTCAGTGTAATTAAAATTTATAGTAATTAATGACTCTTTATGAGAAGCTGGTAAAGTTATGTTCTTTCCATTTTAAAATAAACCATATCTCTACGTAGCTTAGCACAACTAAAGGTTCGATTTGCTTTTCGTCTCAGTAATGAACATTACTACTAATTTTTTAGGAATTTTTACCTCCTATAGTAAAGGTTAACACTTTATTTATTTTAAATAAATACCATTTAAAAAAGTTATATTCTATAAATACCTTTTAATGTTTATAGCAAAATATCTAATTTTGGTTACCTCCTACCCTAAGCCACTAAATACGCTATTCAGTTACACTATTTTCTTTCTCTCTCTACTTTGATACATGCCATTCTCTTCCCCATTTCCTGAAAACACGATGCTCAATCTCAATCCAACGAGAAACCCTAGCTCTTCCTTGGTGGTAAGACCTAGTTGTGTTCCTGGAATTAGAGAATCGTTTGATGGAAGTTACAGTAGTCCTATGGTGAGCAGCAGATGTGTGGCTCCGTGGTTGATGCTACCGCCGGAGCTTGAGGAGGAAAGCACCCTTTTGAAATTGAATTGGGTTATGGAGCTTAGGCTCTTTGGCCAAATTTCCGTTTCTGTTTTCAGGCACCGCATCTCAACATATATATTTGGTGAGACTCCACTCTTGATATCGTGGAGTAACATTTACTTTATCCTTTTGAGTCACCGGAGCTTCTCTCAGTTGACTATTTCATTTTAGAGATTCCATAGACAATAGTAGTTTATTCTTTTGGATTGTAAGCTATAATTACTTATATGGCATGCATGAATGAACAATTGCCTTTTATGTCTTTTGTTTAATGACATAAACAACCTCTCTACTCCTTCGGGGTAGGGGTAAGGTCTGCGTACACACTACCCTCCCCAAACCCCACTGGTGAGATTTTACGGGATCGTTGTTGTTGTTGTTGTTGTCTTTTGTTTAATGAAAAAGATCATTTTAAAAGGTTAAGTTTCATGCATGAATTTTATTGTTTAAAATTATTATGTTTCGAAAGGCTTCCGCATGCATATAAGAAAGGGTATGTGTATGGGTTTGTTCGCTGGGCCGATTAGTGCACCGAAAGCGGTCACGTGGATTTTGAGCCGTGACAATTGGCTCCTGACTCAAATTTTCTTTATTAGGAAGGTTAAAAAGATGAGAAATTTTCATAAAGCACTATCTTTTAGTGGTAATTAGTTATCTATAGATACCATTTGCTATATTACGGACTGTAGATACGTTTTATGTTGTTATAAGATGTATTTAAGCTACTATATTCATGAATACAATAGCAAAAATAGGCGTGAATCAGGGAAGTCCAGCTAATCAGTTGTTGTATTCGAGTGTATTCGACTGTATTCATGGCGTGAAACATGGGATTACAGGTGGACAGATTATTGTATTCGACTGTATTCACGGCGTGAGATAGGGGATTATACTGTTTTTAAACGGAAAGTGAATCAATTAACATAATAGACTCCTAATATAACTCAACAAACCCAATTATAACACACAAATTTTGTATTTCCAGTTATAAAAAAGATTCTCAACCCAAAAATACCCCCAAAACATAGCAATCTTCAGAGAAATTATACAATACATCTGAATACATAAATTATATTAAATAAAAAAAATATATGAATATATTCATGGCATATAGCGAGACACTGAATGTGACGACCCAACCCGTCGTCACGTGTGTTACCGCCCCGTTTCCCTCATTTTCTATTTATTTATGCTTCATTATCATTGTTGGGTATGAACGAGTTGATTTGGATTAGTTCTAGTAGGAAATGAGACACTTAGTCTCTTTAAGGAAGGTTTATTTTGGAAAAGTCAACCGGACGTTGACTTACGTGTTAGAGGGCTCGGATATGAATTCTGATGATTTGGTTAGCTTCGGGGGATGATTTGTGACCTAGGAGTGTGATCAGAAGTGATTTTGGAGGTCCGGTGTAGAATTAGGCTTGAATTGGCAAAGTTAGAATTTTGGCAAATTCCGGTCGATAGGTGAGATTTTGATCCGAGGGTCGGAATGGAATTCCGAGAGTTCAAGTAGCTTCGTTAGGTAATTTGGGATGTGTGTGCAAAATTTCAGGTCATTCGGAGGTGTTTTGGTTGGGTTTTTGATCGAATGCGTGTTTCGGAAGTTTTGAAAGAACTTAGGCTTGAATTCGATGAGAAATGATGGTTTTAGTGTTGTTTGAGGTGTTTTGATGATTGGAGCAAGTTTGAATAAGGCATTGGACCATGTTTGTGTTTTTGGTTGAGGTCCCGGGGGCCTCGGGGTGATTTCGGATGGCTAATGGGATGTTTTGAACTTATAAGATTGCAGAACCTGTGCTGCTTCTAGTATTTTCGCTTCTGTGGAAATGGGAACGCAGAAGCGGTACCGCAGAAGCGAGTTATGAACCGCGGAAGCGACAGGTATCGCAGGTGCGGAGATGTTGACCGCATCTGCGGAATCGCAGATGCGACAATAGGACCGCAGATGCGGAATGTTGGAAGGCTAAAGGAAAACTGCATCTGCGAAAAGGGAATCGCAGATGCGGGACCGCAGAAGCGACTCTTAACCGCAAAAGCAAAAGTCGCAGATGCGGCTAAGTAGCCGCAGATGCGGAAATAACTGATCAGAAAGGATTTTATTTCCCTTCGCGAAATTTCAAAAGAGTTTCATATTTTCACTTCGGACTTGGAGGATTTGGGCGAGTTGGAGGAGAGGAATCAAGGGACTTCATTGAGGTAAGAATTTCTAAGCCTCAAACACGATTTTATGGTGCAAACACATGAAATTAGACTGAAAAATTAAGGAATCAAGGGTTAAGAATGGAGGTTAGGGCTTGAAAATTAAGAGAGCAAAAATGGGAATTTGAGGGGTCATTTGGACTCCGATTTTAGTGTTCTTTATATGTATAGACTCGTGGCGAGATAAGGAATCCGTTGATGGTAAATTTTCTGACTTTCGAGAAGTGGGCCCGGGGCTCGGGTTTTTGATAATTTCGGGAATTTCACTATTTTTCGATTGTTTTCGATTGGGTATTGTCCCATTAGCATATTGTGACGTATTCGTTGTGGTTTTGATCAGATTCAATACACGAGGAGGTTAATTTGAAAGGCAAGGGCATAGCAAGCTAGGACTTTGGCCAGCTTGAGGTTAGTAATAAATGTAAATGCTGTGTTGAGGGTTTGAAACCCCGAATTTGCACATCGTAGTGCTATGTTGAGGTGACTTGCACGCCGGATAACAGGCGTGGGGTAGAGCACCGTCGGGGATCGAGACTTGATCCGTCCCGCTTAATAAAATTACTACCTAATTGATTATAGCTTAGTAATATCCTTATAAAAATGGATTAATTGTCATAATTGGGCTTCGTGCCAACTACTTGAATCCTTCAGGGATTGTTTCTGCTGGTTTCTTACCATATTTATAGATATTGTACTCAGTCCTAGTATTTGACACTGTTTTTGTAAAATCAGCCATTTCTTTCAAAGTAGAAACTAAATTAATATTTTTAAATGAAGTTTGGCTGAATATTTTTATATTATTGTGCCGAGAGGCTTATGTGATTTTGGACTGAGTATGGGATCGGGCTGCACGCCGCAGCGGTATGATATTGATATTGATAAGAGGCCGAGGGCCTAGTTGATGCCACGAGATGACTTATTATTGCGCTTGGGCCGTAAGGGGCCCCTCCCGGAGTCTGCACACCCCAGTGAGCACCGTCGATGATAAATAAATGGAGCACGCTACACGCCGCAGCGGGTACTGGAGAGTACCGGTTTATGTGTTGCATTGCATATTTAATTGTCATTCATTCTTAATCTGTTGTGATATGTTTATAATTGTCTTCACTGTTTACTGTATTATGCTACTGGTTCATGTTGCTGTGTTTATAGCTTTACTTTGTGCCTATTTAGGATTTCTTATTCTTGGACTTTATTTATGTTTATTACTTTCTGGGTTGGAAGTACTCACATTACTCCATGCACCTTGTGTGCAGATTCAGGCGCAGTAGAGTGAGATCTTTCTCTGCCTAGCATCACATTCGGGAGATTTAAGGTAGCTGCAAGTTGACGTTCGCAGTCCTGATCTTCCTTCCATTTTATTTATTTGTTTCCGCATTTCTAGAGAACAATATGTAGTAGGTTAATACTCATGCATTAGAGGCTCAGACTTGTGACACCGGATTCTATGGGCTAAGTAGTACTCTGTATTTTGGGCTTTCAGAATGTTTGAATTTATTTCAGGATTTCCGCATTTAACTTGTGGTATTTTAGTTGTGAAAATATACTTATCCACTGTGATTAATCGGTTAAGGTTGTCAAAATGGTCGGGCTTTCCTAGCAGTGTGTTGGGCGCCATCACGACCGGGTTGGGTCGTGACAAGTTGGTATCAGAGCCTAGGTTACTTGGTCTCGCGAGTCATGAGCCGGTTTAGTAGAGTCTCGTGGATCGGTACGGAGACGTCAATACTTATCCTCGAGAGGCTGCAGAACCTCTAGGAAATACTTCATATTCTTGAAACTCTTGTCGTGCAGCTTTGTTGAATTGAGAACTAAATCTTTATTATTCTATTCTCTCACAGATGGTGAGGAC